CATTAATCGCAACTTAATCCATTGTATCTTTGCCTATTGATTATGAAGAGGTACAAGGTACGTCATTTTATTAGCTCTTCAGCTGTAAAGTAAGTATCCGCGACGGGAAACGTGCAGGTAATCTGCGAAAAAAGAGACCTTTCAGGTAGCAGCTGAAAACTTTTCATGGCTACAACTTTTACGCGCACGATTTGACAAGCCAAGTTGGTTGTTGCTGCTGGCATCTTCAGCAGAACCTGGTTGCCACATGTTTCCGGCCCCTGGTTCACCCACATCCTTGAAAAGGACCGCACACAATGCATTTGGTTGCCAGGGCAGCCCCTGAAACCAATAGTTGGGGATCCACCGGAATCCTGTTCACTCTATATTAAACACTTTTTAATGCCAATTTGGGGTCGGTGACTAAACATATATGTTATGTATGTTGAACACCAAGAATTCCAAAAGCAAAGTGGGGAGCTAATAACATACTTAACAGAATAGTGTACCGAATATAAAGTACAACGGTTTACTGGTTTTCAAACCACAAATAGGTATTTTTATACCCGTTACTCGTAGAGTAAAAGGAATACTAGATTCGTTGTAAAGTATGAAAAAGGCAGAAGGAAGCGTTTTCGACTATATCAATGTATTACATGTATTATTTACAATATTTACCGATATTCCAGAAAATTATGATATCAACTCAACTTATCTTAATCGGATTTTGAAGTGGCATACCTCTAAATGTTTCTGGCGCAATTCTCTAAAAGTCTGCATTCAAATTTAGAAATTTATTTTTTTTCAAATTTTTTGTCATTTTTTTTATGTGATGATGTAGAAACTCAAAAACCTATAAAATGTCCCAAGGCTGAAGTTCTATACTCCATAACTCAACTAATTTTAATCGGATTTTGAAGTGGCGTATATCTAAATGTTTCTGGCGCAATTCTCTAAAGATCTGCATTCAAATGTAGAAATTTATTTTTTTTCAATTTTTTTGTCATTTTTTTATGTGATGATGTTGTAGAAATTAAAAAACCTATAAAATGTCCCAAGGCTGAACTTCTATACCTCATAACTCAACTAATCTTAATCGGATTTTGAAGTGGCATACCTCTAAATGTTTCTGGCGCAATTCTCTAAAAATCTGCATTCAAATTTAGAAATTTATTTTTTTCAATTTTTTTGTCATTTTTTTGATGTGATGATGTTGTAGAAATTCAAAAACCTATAAAATGTCCCAAGGCTGAAGTTCTATACTCCATAACTCAACTAATTTTAATCGGATTTTGAAGTGGCATACCTCTAAATGTTTCTGGTGCAATTCTCTACAAATATGCATTCAAATTTGGAAATTTATTTTTTTTCAAATTTTTTGTCATTTTTTTGATGTGATGATGTTGTAGAAATTCAAAAACCTATAAAATGTCCCAAGGCTGAAGTTCTATACTCCATAACTCAACTAATTTTAATCGGATTTTGAAGTGGCATACCTCTAAATGTTTCTGGCGCGATTCTCTAAAAGTCTGCATTCAAATTTAGAAATTTATTTTTTTTCAAATTTTTTGTCATTTTTTTGATGTGATGATGTTGTAGAAATTCAAAAACCTATAAAATGTCCCAAGGCTGAAGTTCTATACTCCATAACTCAACTAATTTTAATCGGATTTTGAAGTGGCATACCTCTAAATGTTTCTGGAGCAATTCTCTAAAGATCTGCATTCAAATTTAAAAATTTATTTTTTTTCAAATTTTTTGTCATTTTTTTGATGTGATGATGTTGTAGAAATTCAAAAACCTATAAAATGTCCCAAGGCTGAAGTTCTATACTCCATAACTCAACTAATTTTAATCGGATTTTGAAGTGGCATACCTCTAAATGTTTCTGGCGCAATTCTCTACAAATCTGCATTCAAATTTGGAAATTTATTTTTTTTCAAATTTTTTGTCATTTTTTTGATGTGATGATGTTGTAGAAATTCAAAAACCTATAAAATGTCCCAAGGCTGAAGTTCTATACTCCATAACTCAACTAATTTTAATCGGATTTTGAAGTGGCATACCTCTAAATGTTTCTGGCGCGATTCTCTAAAAGTCTGCATTCAAATTTAGAAATTTATTTTTTTTCAAATTTTTTGTCATTTTTTTGATGTGATGATGTAGAAATTCAAAAACCTTAAAATGTCCCAAGGCTGAAGTTCTATACTCCATAACTCAACTAATTTTAATCGGATTTTGAAGTGGCATACCTCTAAATGTTTCTGGCGCAATACTCTAAAGATCTGCATTCAAATTTAAAAATTTATTTTTTTTCAATTTTTTTGTCATTTTTTTGATGTGATGATGTTGTAGAAATTCAAAAACCTATAAAATGTCCCAAAACTGAAGTTTTAAGCTTCATAACTCAACTAATTTTAATCGGATTTTGAAGTGGCATACCTCTAAATGTTTCTGGCGCAATTCTCTACAAATCTGCATTCAAATTTGGAAATTTATTTTTTTTCAAATTTTTTGTCATTTTTTTGATGTGATGATGTTGTAGAAATTCAAAAACCTATAAAATGTCCCAAGGCTGAAGTTCTATACTCCATAACTCAACTAATTTTAATCGGATTTTGAAGTGGCATACCTCTAAATGTTTCTGGCGCGATTCTCTAAAAGTCTGCATTCAAATTTAGAAATTTATTTTTTTTCAAATTTTTTGTCATTTTTTTGATGTGATGATGTAGAAATTCAAAAACCTTAAAATGTCCCAAAACTGAAGTTTTAAGCTCCATAACTCATCTTATCTTAACGGATTTTATCGAATCGAAATTTCTCGTTTGCACTTCAACTGCTGAGTAACTAGTATCTGATAGTTCTATTTTGTTTTACAATTAATTACCCAGTATACGTAAGAACATGCACCCCCAATCAGCAGGGCTCTACCAACATCTCTATAAGCAATTTCAAAAGTTCAACTTCGAGCAAAAGTTAGAGCAGGATTAGCACTCTTGCTTACCTAGCCTTAATGTTCCTACTTGGCCGCGGGGCATCCTATGCGAACTCAATCTCAGACCGAGTATAGCTCCTTTTGGCCCATATTAATTTGCGTGTGTGTAGCGAGTGAGAAGAGTTCATTAAAGTTTCACGTGCGAAATTATATAAAATTTTTAGTGCCCCAACTGCCTGCGTGTCTGCTGCCAACTGCTCATGGCTTCCTGCCACAGCCCGTGGAGGGCTAAGAGGTGCGAACAGGTCGCGGAAGTGCAAATTATTTTCCCCAGACATTTTGCAGTTGCTTACCCTTAATTGCAGTCATTACTTCTTTCCGGAGAGATTTATTATTTAATTGGAAAAAAGCGGCAGTTGCTTCCCTTGGCGCAATTTTTTTTGGGTATCAGCGATGACACGAGAATGCACATTTATATTAATTATTAATTTGCCCTTATTATCAGCAATGCCATTTCCTGGCTTGCTTGTTCTTTAAGTTCCGCTTGAGTACTTATTTGGTTTTCCACTTGAAAGATTTGGAAAATAATTATCTTATCAAACGTAACTCCTATGGCCCGCAATAACAACCTCACCCAACCCGTTCAAATGTCAAGCACACAATTTCGATTGATTTTTCCAGCCAAATGCCTTCAATTACTGGACTTTTTTCGCTCCTATCTATCCATCCAGCCAAATGTACGCATCCTTGTATTTTGGCCCCATATACAATAACCAAAGTCATGCTGTGACACCTCCAGTCATTTTGATGCCTGGCCCACGCCAACTTGTTGCATCCGAAATCAACTGTGATTCCGCTTCACTGGAGAAATCAGCAATAAAAAATTTCTCTATGCCCAGAAACTGTCAGTGACACTTACAAATTGGGTTTTCGACAGCGGCAAGCTGACCTGAAGGACACACCATTAACGCGAGCTGGCATAAAATCGCTTAAAAAGATATCCCAAATTAATAATGTCGCATGTAAATAACAACAAATCAATTTTTAAATAGACGATGAACCCGAACACGCACAACAGGACCCAATTCCCGACAGCAATGAACCCTCTTCATCAGTGGGCTTAATGTGTGTGAATGCCTTTGAACAGTGGTACGAAACACTGAAACACTTAGCAAATATTTTGATTTTTCCTATTTAAGTTCATTCGAGATGCGCTCAAAGGACAAGCCCTGAGTCCTACCCAAAATATATACGAGTGCTTTAGGTTATCACAAGTAGTCCAGACTTCGCACCACTGTGGCAAAAAGGTCTTTCTCCCTGTCAAATCCAGCCACTTTCACTTGGCCAACGCCAATGGCTTTGATAGATTCAAGTTCGCAGTGGCCGCCAGGTAGCCATTCATCTACCACCCGGCCAAGTTACCAACGAAAAGTCGGAGACAGAGGTTGTTAACTGACTTTTTGGGGGTGGGCACTGTGTAGCTGGCCTGTTCATGCGGTTCATTGACATGGCCAACTGAGGGGCGTGGCGATGGCCGATTTAATTTTGATTAATTGCGGTAAATGTTATGTTAATTTGCTGGCACTTTTTTGGATGGCTGCCTGCACCGACTGTCTGTCGACCGATTTTAGATAAGCGCGTAATAGAGACACTATTAGTGGGCGGGTCGGTAAACTAATTTTCTGTCAAGGCCTGCCACACATTGTGCGTGTGTGTGTGTGTTGAGTCCGCCTGGCTGATGTGTGTGTGTGTGCCGATTTGTATGGGCTGACAAACACTAATTAATTGCAATGAGCTCCTCTTTGAAGGGGGTTCGTCTGACGCTTTGGATCCTGCTGTTGATTGAAGCATGCTAATTACCTAGGGATTGTCAATCATGTTAAAGCAAGTGGGTAAATTTGCACTTAAGGTACTTAAACAGCAGTATTGGCCCTTATCCATTGAAAAACATGGTACAGATTGGCTGATGAACATCGATTAGTTAATCCTTAAGGTAAGGTATTTATTTCATTAACTATATTGCATTACACTGTATTTTCCTATTACAATCTACAACACGAAGTAAAAATCTAGTTTTCCACCGAAATCTAAAAGTTTGACAAGCATTTTTTTGGTAATAGTTAAAAAACAGAACATATAAAGGGGGTAACATGGATAACCTGGCTGTGGGCCTGGCGGCCTTCTTCCAGCTGATGGGCTGCTACTTCTTCTTCGCTCAGCCGCAGGATCGCTGCTCGGCGGCTCCAGATTTGGCCAGCTGGCTGTTCCTGGCTGCCACGTTGTGTTTCCTGTGGGACACCAGCATCTATCCTCGACGATTTATGCACATGGCCCGCTTCTGGCGTATTCTGATCGAGATTGTGGCGTCCATTTTCCTGGCCGAGGTGGGCACCGTCATAATTTGGTGTGGCCTGGAAAGGTTTCTGTACAGCCTGACGAACGAGCTCCTGAATTTGATGCAGTGTAGCTGTCAGCCCTCGCCGTATGTATATTGGCTTTCAGGACTAATTACCTGCTTGGTTAGCGGATCAGTGCTCTGGTATGTCCTCGAAGCCACCGACGGCATGTACTATATAAGGAAGTTCTCCCGCAAACTGCGAACCACCATGGGCGTGTCCTGGCGGATGTTCCGCTGCTATATGAGATTGAACACGAAGGCTAAGCGTCGGGCATTAAAGATATGCCAATTAACCAGGAAAATGCGCCACTGCCGCAAGGCATCTGCTAAATATTCTGAATCGGAGGACGATTGCTGTGACTAATCCTTTTGTATCCTTTTGGCTACTGTGCTGACCATGCAAATTTTGTATTCTTTCCTAGAACTATCACTTGTGTCTGACAACCAATACGAATATTGAATATTAATAAACTTAAAAAAATATTAAATGTGTTCTACCAAGTGTCTTTTACGTAATAATAAATGGCAGCCATTATTTTTCAAGTTATTACACTTGTAATGCCAGCATTGTGTTGATGAAAAGTTCAGGGACATTCCCGAAAAACAGAATAAGATGTTCCGATTATTCATCGAAAAAGGCATTTCTCATACGCCCCGTTGGCCACACCCCCTCGCTGTGTGCGTGGCCATAAGAAGCACACAATACACACAAAACACACAAAACAGCTGAAAATGAATAAAAATGGGAGTGTCAGACGAGTTGCAGACAATCAGGGAAACATTTGGAGATTGCCGTGCATTTCCAGGCAGCAATAGACGCCATATGCTAACTTTGATTACTTCTTCTGGCTTTTATCGCCGCCTCCCAACCCCAAATGTCTATGCCATTTCCCAGAAATGTTGGCAGAGAAGCAGCAGCAGAAGCAAAGAAATTGTATTTCATTTCGCTGGGACTGAGAAAAGTCGGAACCGGATATGCGACATTTTATCAAGTCAGGCATAAATCAGCAGCTTATGCTGGATTCCATCGGGAGATGGGTCGGCCCCATTTCCTCGCTTTAACTCGGCATTCACTTACTTTGCTCGTTGTTCCTGCATGTTTGAAGCTGGCAAATAATTTATTTTGCATAAATTTGCCAGCACTTAACGATGGGGGATCTACGCCACACCTATGAGAAGGCCATGCAAACTACCAACCCATCCAACATGCAGCCCGTCGTGGCCCAAAGAATATATTCCGTGGGCGGGTCACGCTGAATTATGCCATCTAATTTGTCTGCAGGCAGGTGGTGCTCATTAATCTTACCACGCTTATGAACGACTCTCCTGTATCCGTCTGTTTTTCTTGCCGCACAGCCGCAGCACACTCCTGGGACTCCGGAATCCTGGGCTGCAGATAAGCTCTTCGCCTTTGCAGCGGACTCACGTAGCTGGTTTTGTGATTTCCTTTGCCCGCTTCAATGCCAGGCGTGGGACTTAGCATGATACCCTTTCTCCGGCTGAGCAAATACAACTAAGTAATACTCTGTGCGATGCGGAAAAATATTAAACGTTAAGGTTACCAAATCCAGCTAGTTAAGAGCAGATGCAATAAATAGGAAAGAGCTCTGGATACAAATACAAGACGTACAAAAATGCTGCTCAAATAATTTGGCTTACTCTTATTGCCTCTTGTTTTAAGTCCTTACCTTTCGCAAACAATGCAGCAGAGCATCCACACAGCTCTTATAAACTGGGTTTTGGCCCGCATAGTTCGGCACCTGACTCCCGCTTAAGGCCTAATGGATTTGCGCTTTGATGTGCCAACTGCGTGTACGTGGATCAAAATCGTGCGAGGGAGTGTGAGTGCGTGTGTGTGAGTTGGCCCGGTTGTAAGTGGTTAAGTGTCTATATTAGACGCCATCACTTGCAGTTTCCCATTTCTAAGGGCCGCTGGCATTTTTTGGCCGTGTTTTTTGGCCCATTTTACTGCAGAGGTGGCAAGCATAAATTTCAGCCTAAATGGCCTTATGAGGGCGGCCTCGAAGCTGATCCTCTGTTTATGGCCCAACCAAATGAAATGTGAGTGGGAGTCGGATTCGCATTTGGTCGGGGATTGCGTATGTATGGAAGTGCCTCGTGCTGGCCCTTTTAAATTAAAAATCCTGTCCGTGGCTTATGTTTGGGCGGTCCCAAAATTGAATTTTCCTCTCGTCCCGGTTTGATTAGCATAAAATGCGGTACGTGTTTTTGGTTTGGCTGAAGAACGTGTGGCGATGATGATGGTTTTGTGTGGAAATCATTGAAATATTAAGTGCTTTTTCAAAGAATTTTTATTTTTGTTAAAATTAAATTTGTTTTTTTGCACACCACATTTTGTTTTTGTTTATTTATCGTTTACTTTTCCGGATCTCACTTTTTCAACATTTAAAAATTCGCTTTGCTTGTAAACAGTTTTGGTTTTCCTTTTGTTCTTGACACTTTACTTACAGTAAATATTGTAGAAATGTTTTTTCACTGCTCTCGGCATTTAACTAATGAAATTTAGGTTGTTCTTGAGGTTATCTATATACACACAGATTATGCTTCCAAAATTCTTGTAATTTACTTTCAGCCGGTTTCTTGTTTCCTGTCTATGGTGGGTGATTTCTTTCAAAAGGATTATTTCTTCAATCATTTTCTGTATGCAATGTTTATTTCTGCATTGACCGGTCTAAACTTAGTTATTTGCTAGGCAAAAGTTTAATATTAGTTTAGTATCTCACTTGTGTTTTTTAAACTAACTATATTCCTATTGAAACAATGTTACTTCAACGAGCACTGGTTCGCAGCATCATCTTTTATATCAAAAGATTCATTTCCTTTCTCATTTAAGATTATGTAAAAGTATTTAAATGTAACATTTAGTTAAAAAGTGTGTTACGAATTAACAATACACATTTATATACTCTTTTCGGATTTTCCCAATACCGAATTTTCGCTTTATAATATAAGAAAATATGTGTTTTCCTAAATTGAACAGTATTTAAAGCAACATTTCCCTTATACAGTGTAAAGTAATGAATTCATATGTTAATGAGAAAAAAGGTGTAATCGGCAAGCCGAATCCGGGAATACCCTTACACAACAATTAGGCAATTATTTAACTTTTTTTCTGAGATTAGCTAAGTAATAAAGATTTAATTTTTAACGACGCACATTCAGACCAGCGGATCGTACTTTACTCACTAATTGCAATCACATCCCTCACCTCAATGTTTGGGCATGATATCTATTTAAATCTACATTTTCCTCTATTTTCCAGCTAGACTTACAACGAGCTTTGGTTTAAGGAGCTTTGTACTTGTAAAGCCCCTACTTACATAAGAATCTGAATCAAAAGTGTTTGTCGTTTTGTTAATCGTTTAGCACATCAAAAACTATAAATATTGGACCAAAAATTACCATTGAACCTTATTTAAAGTCAAATATGTTTGCTACTGCCTCTCTGATGTTCAGTTTCGTTTGCATTTGGTTAGTTCTTGACCGTCATGCCCAAATATTTACACTTACATTTTCCAGCTTCCATGCATAAATCAATTAACATTTATGGAACTAAATGTCGAAGAGTGAAAACTTAACACAGCGACCCCCAAAAACTATTTACAAGGTCAACCACACAAACCGCCATCGTGGTGGGTGAAGTGGGTGGCTCCTCACACTGATTCGCATGGAATGGGATGGTATGGGTTGGGTCAGGACAACAAGGACACGAATGTCGTCGCCGTTTTAGTTTTCGGCTGTCGTCGCCTTTTGTGTGCGTCTTGTCGACACAGTTTTTGCTCGCCAGTTCATTGAAATGGTGGCAGTCAATGTGTCAGATAAACAAGCCCGCTGACACTTTTGGCCATGATTCGGGTTCCGATCCGGCAAACGGAGCGTGTGAGTCAAGTGTGCGCATTTATAGTTGGCCATGCAATTTTTGCCCCAAGATTTGCACAATGAACACCTTGACGGCACAGGCAGACGGGAGTGCTTGGGAAATGGCCAAAGTGGGTGGCGCTCCATCTCTGACTGGCTGCACACAAGTGGTCACATTTATGTGGACGATATGTTTGCCTTGTATGCGGGCGGCTTCTCTCCTGACCTCCGTGCCGCTGGCAGACTCACTCCTCCTTTGTTTGCAGGACCTTGCCAGGACGTGTCCGGCTGCACACACACACGCACACACACGCACACACTCCATGCACGCTGCCAATGACAGTTGTCAACATGACAGTTATAAGGACACTGATACAAATGTTACGGATGTTTGTCTTGGCCGGACAAGGAATGTTATTTATTGCACGGCGTGAGTAGAGAGCAAAGATTGATTAAAAGTGCTGATAAATGGTTGCGAAATGTGTGTGTTCCATCTTAGAATTAATGGATAATTATTTCAGTGCCGTTAAATTTAATTTGAAAAGTTTACAAGTGTACAGGCAGTGATCTGGGAACCTAACATACTTTGTCTTCGTTTCGAAAACTTTGAAGTAGGAATGTAAACTCTTTCCGAGTTACGACTTTAAAAGCATTAAAATCTCTGCTTATGTGTAACATTTGAGAACGTGATAGTAGTTTTTCTTAAGTGGGCGCTCGAAAACACATAGCCAACTTTGCTATACTTAATGCCTATGACACGTGAAATCAAATTACCTTAACTTTTATATATTTCTTAAGAAGATTATAGAAATAAAAACTTTGGAATGACTGCACAAGGTGAATTTGATAAAAGTAATTGTAAAAGAGCTAGTGAAAGTGTGCGTGACCAATGGCAAAGGAATGGGGCAAGGGCTTATGTATGATTGACCTTGGATTTAAAGTTCCTAAGAATTTTCTAAGAATTTGTCAGATTAAGTTGCATTCAACAGTCAGGTTACGATAGCACACTGCATTAAACCATTCATTCACATTACACATACTCTGGCAATTTTCCAACTTGAGTCCTTTTCCCTACTTTTACCGCAGTTTTGGAGCTGTTTTAGGCAGTACTGTCAGAAGTTTGTAAGTCCGTTTCAGTTGGGACAATCCCATCCAATGTCCGGCAATCAATGCCGGGGTCCAATGTAGATCCCTCCGAGACTATCGCCGCTATCTCCGCCCACGCCGCTGCCCTCGCCGTCCTCCTCGTCCTCCACATCGTTGTCCAGAAGGCCGTCGTCCAGTCCAATGGCATCCGTTCCGTTCTCCTGGCCACTCGGACCATTGTTGATGGTGGCTCCCTCGTAGGTATCGCTGTCGTCCACCAGACAACAGTCCCCGCAGTCGTCCGTCGAGGAGTTGACATCATCGCTGAGATCGTCCAGCAGCGTCACCTTGGGAGTCCGAAACTCATCCGGACATCCCACCGAAAGGCCGGCGGAGGCAACCGAAATCTTGATGTTGCAGTTCGTGGAGGCGTGGCACGCGTGCGAGTGCGGAATGGGCTGCTGGAGAGTG